TTGTCAAATTTTCTGCTCAGAAATCAGACTTCTCTTGTTTAATATACAAATACGGAACTGGAAAATCAGGTGCTTTTGGTACTTCTATAGAAAACTTGTCCGCCACTATAAATGGCTCCTCTGCGCCAATTTCTTTTGTACTGTACCAACGTGAAGGCAGCATCCGAATGTGAAACTTTGCATTATTTGTACTTAACATCACCTGAAAATAATGCCGACATACTATACCACATCGTATAATAGATAAACAAGAACGTAGATATGACCGATTCTTTAATAACAAAACATAATGCTTTATTTTTGTTAAATTTCTAGCACAAATAGCCCAAGTCTTCTGGATATTGTTAGTTGCGATTAGTCTCTTGCATATGAACGTATTTATGTATGATTAGTAATTTTAAGGAATTGTGCCAGTATTGTAATTGTTTAAGCCTACCATATTGAGACAATATACATATTGACGAATTAATACGTATTAGCAATGTAAACAAAAGTTTTTACTAGATTCGACAATAGTATCATAGTTAGTTGTAATCTTATATACAGTATAGCATAAATCAAGACAAATTGTTTAGCGATGCAAGAGAAAATTCCCAAACCCCAAATTAGGTAAAGTCACAAATTGTTTGGGTTTGGTTTATATTACTAGTTAACATAGCATATACAGGTTGAATCAATGAATAATGGAACAGGAGAGAACGTTGTTGTTACTCGACTGATTTTACATACGGTGTGAAACACATAAAAAAATGATTTTACAATACTTGATCGGACTTGATTAGTCAGCTAGTACATGTTATGATTAGAATTCCACACCATTTTTAATTATAAAAAATGGTGTGGGATTCTAATCATAACATGTACTAGCTGACTGATCAAGTCCGATCAAGTATTGTAAAATCATTTTTTTATGTGTTTCACACCGTGTGTAAAATCAGTCGAGTAACAACAACGTTCTCTCCTGTTGAATAATGGGTATATATCGGGAGACAAATCTCTCGATATGTACCCATTATTCTATCATAAATCCGCGAGTTAGATCAATAATTGTAATATGACAGTAACATACTGGGACATCCCGGTATTTTCCTCTTAGCACTATTTGGACTAAGAGTAAGATACCAGGATGTCTCGGTATGTTACTGTTATGTTACTATTAGCAATTTATATCCTGATATTTAACCAATATGCTACAGTTATTTGGCGGATCTATGGTAGAATAATGGGTACATATCGGGAGATTTGTCTTCCGATATATACCCGTTATTCATTGATTCAACCTGTGATATGCCTCTGATATAATAGAGTAGGTTCTAGAATGTGTATCTTTCATATTAAAAAGCGAAGCATCTATTTTCCCTTTTATTGTAAAGTATCAGTTACGATTTTCTTACTATAAATCTTCACTATTTTTAGCTTACTTTTAGTGAATTAGTATACTTGTTATAAAAACTTTTAGTGGTTGATACTACATTGTGTGTTTATTATGCGTCGCTCTTCATTATACTATATAATAGTATATACTAACTCCTACCTTTAACTTAATCTGTTGAGTTAAAGTTTGGAACTGGTTTTATTTTTCATATGTTAAAACCGATTAAACTCGAGTTTAACGTATGAAAAATAAAACCGGTTCAAACTCTATGTTGAGCAATTAAATAATATGACATGATTCTATGGAACATAAACTGCTGATCCTATATAATACAAACTGCCGATCCTATGTAATACAAACTGCTGATCCTATGTAATACAAACTGCCGATTCTATGTAATACAAACTGCTGATCCTATATATTATTACTATAGCCACGTGACTTATAGGGACTAGCAATATAACGCCATAGCAATAAATTATAAAATTCTAAAAATTAAACTTTTATTATTTAACTTTCGAAAAATGTACTACTTGAAAAAGTATTTAAACTATCAAAATTTAAATTAGCTAGAACTTCATACGTTTTCACTTATAACTAAGTTTGATACTTAGTATGTTTTATAACTTTTGAAAAAGTTTTATATTTACCACAAATTTGATGAAACATTGCTGTTTCATAAAACTACCCTTTGAAATATTGTAGCTAATCAATAGCATGACACAATATTAAACACCAATACAATAGTATAACCTGCTTACAGAACCATGAAAATAAATCTAACGAATATTAATAAATCAAATAGCATATATTCTTATAATAAATAACCTGTATATATATAATTAAATATATATTAATAAATAAAAAACTATTTATAACAAAGAAACAAACTTGACTCTTATTAACTATTGAAAGTACTTAATTGACAAAGTAGAGTGATTAGTTCCATTAATTTGAACATCCTAACATCTTATTCAAAAGCCTGATCAACTAGCGAAGGAGACTGCAGTTACTTAACGAAATTAATCTTTACTAAGTTATTTAACAACAACGCATCCAAAGAGATGAAGATATTGATTTATCTTATATTAACATTATTAGCCTTCATAATTTACAATGATCTAGATAACATATTACAACCACATCCAGAAATATATTGCATAATTACATTAAACAAAATTACTATCAAAGAAATGACCAACCCAACATTTACAAACTATATTAAAATACAATAAACAAAAAAAAGTCAACAATACATACTACATAGTTTATTGTCCAAAAGTAATTACTCAACTAAGAAAACTTGGAAAAGTACAATATTTGTCAACACCGACGTAGTAATACCAATAACCTTAATGCCAACATTAACAAGTACAACATTACTACTCTCAACAATATCAATACTATTAAGCACAATACAAACGCCAAAGAAAAGCCAACACAATCAGTACAAATAATAGTAGCAACGCCAAGCGCAGAATCAACAAACTTCAACAATCAAACCTTAATTACATTATTAGAAGTATTAGGAACAATACTAGCAATATTAACTGCAATTGTAACAATACTTACAATCTGCTATAGAAAACAATGACGCCGAAAACAACAATATAAACAACAATTAGAATTACCACCTGCTAGAATACAAACTACTAAAGGATTATCAAACAATACATTTTAACAACCAATTATACCTCTATCGCAGAATAATTTAAATGACCTTGCAAAACAATTGAAAAAGAAAAATACCAGATGCCTATTAGTACAAGGCACAGAACTAAATAGATCAAACCCAAAGAAAAAATATTATATGGAAACAGCCACAGACTATGCATCAGATTCATCAAGTGTAATATATAATACCTGGACTTAATTACTGGAAAAACTATCAAAAGAAATTATGATTAATTCTTCAAAAAGACAAGACTTCCAATCAAATAATATAATTATTTTTCAAAATACATGAATTGTTTGAAATAACTAAACAAACATATTTTGTTAAAGACTTACAAATTTTTTGACTTAACAAATATTAAATATTACACCCACGAATAGTTAACAATATCAACCACAATAACTACAATACCACTTTCACAACCCACTAGAACAACTCTTGGAAATAATTGCGATTCTAATATACTTAGCAACCAACAATCATTAACACTATTCTTTATTATATTACTATTTATACTTCTTAACATAACTATCTTTCTATTATGCTGCTGTATACTACAGCGCAAACAAAAGAGAAACTATAAAGAGAACCCCCAAGCTGCATATTACGCTTAAGAAAAACAATTCTGCTTAATACTCTAAATGCAACAAACTTCAGAAACTATTGATGATAAAACTATACTTACTATCAATACTCATAATTGGAATAACCACTATTGGAATAATTACTTGTCGAAAAAATTTTGCAAGAAAAAGAAATATTAATCAACCAACTATTCTACCCTTACAATAAATGTCAAGATTCCTAAACTCTTTAGACATCTTTGAAAAAAAAAAGAAAAAGGCACACCAACAAACTAATCCTAATATACACCCAAACACCCAATATTTACCATCAAGACATGAGTTAAACCAACCATTAATAAACCCAAATTACCAAGAAGCCTTTAGAAGATTTGGTAACTCAATACCACAAAACTATTTTAACAACAGAAGCCTTACATATTTACAAAACAGATCAACACCTAACCTTAAATATCTAAATGACCAACACTCTTACCAATCAGTAAAACCACGAAAAAACAACTGATCTCACCCTTTAAGATATTTAAACCTGATACCAAGCAAAACAAATAGGTTACATGAACAACTTTTCAATCCAAACTATTGAAGAAAGACAAGTCATATTCTCAACTATACAAATACCAACACCAACAGTAACTCAAAACATAACAATAACAACTGCTCAAACTGCAACCTCAACTGCAATATACACCCAAAAGATAACACCAAACTACTTTGAAGACTCTAATGTCTTAACACAAGACATAATAACAATAGTAATAATCATACTAGTTATATTACTCACATATTATATCAACTTCTGAAAGAAAGTACAAGAAAATGAATACATAATTGAACAACAATGCAAAAAAGCAGACAGACTTTATACAACAATACAACAAGTACCAACTTTAATAAATATAACAACTTAATGCAACTTATCAAATGAGCGATAATTAGAATTCTCTTACAAGCAGATATACTTATATTATTAATCCTATATTTTACAATTAACTTACCATTTATTATAACCGCAATACTATTAATATCAATTAAAGTAATATATATTATAACTGAAGAAATATATAATGACTACATAGTACAAGAATATACCCTATTATTATACAATAGAATACTACTTATACTAAAAGACAACCCTTATGTACTACAATCCAAAACTACTTAAAAGTGGATACAACAATCCAAGACTTTATACCTAAAATAAATTACAATGCAACCATATAGTGGATAACAGAAAGATCATTAATACTTATAATACTTAACCCAGACTTAATATGAATATTTGAAACATTAATAAAATATTATATTATATACTTGATTACATCTGTAATCGCACAACATATATATCTTATTGTAAAAGCAATAAATGTCAAAACAACAAAAGAAGAATGATCTAATTGAATTCATAGATAAAGAATATACAATAGACTTTGATAAATTACTAGAAAAATTATCACAACCAATAGAATCAGAACCAACTTTACCACAATATCAACCTTTAAACCCAACTGAACAACTATTCTATTCAAAAATCAAATTACTATTCAATAATAAGAAACCAGTAATACTAACAAATCTAGAAAAAGCAACTTATTTAATCTGTGCAATACGATCCAACGAACCAACTGAAAAATTACAAGAAATAGCTCAAAAATTCAATCTAAACCTAAAAGAAGCAATCAAAACAACAAAATCAAAATACCAACTTAAATAAGCAATATTAATTATTGAGAAGTACCAAACTGATATTACCCTTATAATACTTATCACTATAATAAATATTTAGTATATTACAAAACCTTTGCAAGAAATCTGAACAGATCAACAAAAAGAACATTCATTCAAATAAATAATAAAATATATCTTGACGCAAACAAACATATGGCTAACACACAACTAATTCAAAAAGCACTAATACGAGCTAACAATAACTCATTAACTGATAGCACATGAGCTAGAGCAATAATATCCTGCCATGTAATAAAAGACTTAACAGCATTATTATTATTATTACAATATGACAGATTACAATTAGAAGATTATATTAGATTTTGTGCATATGCAAATGCAAAACCAATTAAACTACCAGAAAAAGTAATATTATAAAATGGCTTTCACCGGAGCATCAACTAAATTCCCATCTTTAGAAAAAATAGACTTTACCAAAGTTATGGAAGGAATGAAATTCAACAGACAAAACTGGCTCAAATTCTATGGAATATTTATGAGAAATATCCAAAGTTATGTACCAAAAGAACTATTAACAACTGGATTCTTTTCCAGAAGTAAACATACTGAATACCAACGAATAGACACAATGGCAACAATAGTAGACAATTCTGGCCAACACGACTTATACAGAGAACAATACAATATAGTTTATATGAAACAACTATGGTAAAAATTAGTACTACAAACATTTAACAAAATACACCAAGATGCATATTTTGAAATGGAAGAACACTTTACATGTATATTCCCAAGCGACTGGCATAATGGAGCAAGGACACCACCAGATTCATGTACTGAATCACATACAGGAGGAGGAGACCCAAACTCACTAAAAATAACAAAATACTTTCTAACACACTACACGTAAACTATAGAGTAATGAACAGAGCTAATTAAGTACCAAAACCTGGACAAGGAAACCTACAAGTAGACTGGCCCAACGCAACAGACTCAGAAGAAGCACCATCCAAACAAGTATCCATAATACTATAGATGCATGAAAAATACCTTATACATAAACATCAAGAAATAGTACAAGAAATATTTGCTAAATTCATATTTGACTTCAAATACATAAATGAAGGAGAATTTCTAGACTTCAAACAAGAATACTACAGACTCTGAGATGAAGCTAATAATAGTACAACATGGCCACAAGGAGGAGCATTCCAAATATACAAAAGACTACCAAATAGAAGACACCCTGCAGAAAACTACCACGCTGCAATAAAATTATTAGGAAGACCAACTTCTTACGACGACTTTTTTAACAAACTTGAACAAGTATACAACTCTTATAAAGAAGGACAAATAGGACAAGCATTCAAAAAGCAATTTGGAGATAAAAAGAAAGAAACTTTCTCAAATGAAAAAAGATATTGATACAATAAATATAACAAGTATAAACCTAAAGAATTAAACTTCTCAACAAAACAAGAATATTATGTAGTAAAAAGAAAGACCTAAAATACTACAAATGTAGACAATCAGAACACTTTATAAAAGAATGCAAAAACAAGATTGCTAATCATCCCTACACTAAAAACAAGCAACGGAATAATAATTACAAAAGAAAAAGAAAAGGAAAAGAAAATTATAAAA